ATATATAAATATATAAAATATATGAAAAATTGATGTGGGTACTTAAATGAAAGGTCTCGATAAGTGTAACATCAGGATGAGCTTATATCTTTAAAAATGTCAATAATTAAGAAATGACATTGTATTTTGAGAATTATTGACATTTTTAAAGATATAAGCTCATCCTGATGTTACACCCATCAAGACCTTTCATTGGAGTACCCACATCAATTTTTCATATATTTTTTATATTCATATATTTCACAAATACCATATATATACATAAAATATATGAAAAATTGATGTGGGTACTTAAATGAAAGGTCTCGATAAGTGTAACATCAGGATGAGCTTATATCTTTAAAAATGTCAATAATTAAGAAATGACATTGTATTTTGAGAATTATTGACATTTTTAAAGATATAAGCTCATCCTGATGTTACACCCATCAAGACCTTTCATTGGAGTACCCACATCAATTTTTCATATATTTTTTATATTCATATATTTCACAAATACCATATATATACATAAAATATATGAAAAATTGATGTGGGTACTCCAATGAAAGGTCTTGATGGGTGTAACATCAGGATGAGCTTATATCTTTAAAAATGTCAATCGTTCTCAAGATACATGGTCATTTCTTAATCATGAAGCATTTTTTTATTATAATTGACTTAATAATTGTTACAAAAATTTTCAAAATTGTCAACTTACAGCAAACTTCAGTATCATCTTACAAATAAATGATCCAAATAAATTTTCAATCTAAAAAAAATAATGCTTAAAAATTGTATTAAGTACCTTAAGTTTCATTTTAATGTTAAATAAATATTAAAAATAATAAATACAGTCAAAGTAATGCTGGATACTTATATTCGAGAGTAAAGCCTTTCTCGTGAGAACCTTCATTAACGTCAGCCGAAGAATGTAAAAAGTATGCAAGTCAACTGCAGAATGCATGCATAAAACCGGCGACAATCGACAATTGCACAATAAATAGTTAATGCAATGAAATGTAATGCAATATAACAAATCAACCGACTCTAACTCATTAAAGTAGGTACTACCATCCACTGCGTCGTCTTAATTTGTCTTAGTATTTATCCGAGCTTATCTTGACTCTGTCTTTTATAAAAAAAAATTTACAAAGAGATACACATACATTAATACGAAAGCAGAGCGATTGTGAGTGATGTGAGCCGATCGTTTAGCGTTTTCCCATAGCGTAGTAAGCTACGAACGGATCTGACCCGGGTTGGGACCTCAGCCAGGAATACCCTGAGGTAATCACGGCTCACGTCCTCCGCCCCCGGTCTCGTTTATTCTTCTCGTCTCTTATCCTTTTCTTCTCATTCGAATTTGGATTTTTTCCTTACCTAGAGGTAAAGGGCATCCCCTTTTTCTTTATCTTTTGCATCCCTTTCCATCATTCATTCATTTATTTATTTATTAAACAATAAACCCAAGTCGGAGACAATTGCAAAGTTACTATAAAAAAAATTGCATTTGTTCGCACTAAATAAACTTTAAAATAATAATTAAAAAATTAAAATAAATAGGAATTTTTATTTTTAAATAATCAATTAATTTGTTCAAAATTTTAAAAATTTTTTTTAACTAAAAATTTTTTTTTACAATAACTTTTTTGTTGAAGAAAATTTTTCTAGACTTGGGAAAAAAAATTCGCAAATTATTGATCTAAAATTGTTTTTTTTTTTTTCAAAATTAAAAAAACTTTTTTTTTGTTTAAAATTTTCAACAAAATAATTTATTTTCACTTTATATTTTTTCTCTGCAAATAACAAATAATAAAAAAAAAAATAGTGAAAAATTATAAAAGCAATTGTTTAAAACTAATTTATATTTTGTAATAAAAAATAAAAAAATAATGTAATTCATACAAAAGAAACAAGAGGTAATACATTACATGCAGTGATGGCAACCAAAAGTTTAAGAGAGTACCTACACATACCTATAAGTCTCTTAAAGTTTACCCCGCGGTATTTCCAAGTCGAACATCTCGAGGCTAGCGCGGTCGTCATTATTATACGTTATCAAGAAGGAAGAAGGTATGGGAATCAGCCTTAGGCGTCCGGATAGGTGGATACGTACCCCTTTCGCCTCCACCACCTACAGATGCCTCACAGCCTCCTTTCCAACCATTTCTCTCCCCCACATCCACCATTACCTCTTCCACCCTCGCTCTTTACCTGTGTACGTCTCGATTGTGTGTGAAGACACATATATATGTATTATATGTACCTCGCCATTCGTCTGATGCCGTAACGCATTCACGTTATAACAATTCGTTGCTGGCGAATCCTCGCTTCTATTATATGCAAAATGCCGTCCGCGACCTTGCTCAAACCCTCAAGCATTTTGCCTGGGAATTCGTGGATGAATTTTCGGCGTCAATTATACTCGGAATTTATTTCGTTTCTACCTTAAAGAAATTTAATTTTTAAAATTAAGATCGTTAATTGGGTTTCAATTTTTCAATTAATTACTAACAAGCGAAAAAATAATTACCTGTTATATATTAGGGTTAAATGATTCATTGAAAGTATTTTTATTTTCAAAGGGTTGAGTTTACTTATAGCGCGATTTTTAGATAATTGTTTCTAAAGAGAGTTTTTAATTAACTTTTATTGAAATTCTTGTGAACTATTAATAAATAAAATTTTGCTTTATTAAATAATGACTTGTTAAATTGCACTGTACTTTCGTGAATATTGACGTTTTGAAAGATATAAGCTCATCCTGATATTACAATTATCAAGAGCTTTCATTTGAATACCCACATCAATTTTTCATATATTTCATATATTTATATATATCATATATATGTATGTATGAAAAATATATCAAAAATACATAATATATATATAAATATATGAAAAATTGATGTGGGTACTCAAATGGAAGGTCTCGATGAGTGTAATGTCAGGATGAGCTTATATCCTTAAAAATATCATTAGTTGACAAGATAGCAATGTCGGTTCTTAATTATTGACATTTTTAAAGATATAAGCTCATCCCGAAGATACACTCATTAAGAGCTTTTATTTGAGTACCCACATGCATTTTTGATATATTTTTCATATATACATATATATAATATATATATAAATATATAAAATATATGAAAAATTGATGTGGGTACTCAAATGAAAGGTCTCGATGAATGTAACATAGGGATGAGCTTATATCTTCAAAAATGTCAATATTTCACAAGTTTAAAAGTCATTTCTTAATTGCTGACATTTTTAAAGATATAAACTCATCCCTATGTTACACTAATGGAGACTTTTCATTTGAGTACCCACATGCATTTTTGATATATTTTTCATATATACATATATATAATATATATATATATATATATAAATCTATGAAAAATTGATGTGGGTACTCAAATGAAAGGTATTGATGAATGTAACATCGGGATGAGCTTATATCTTTAAAAATGTCAATAGTTCACAAGATACAAGGGCATTTCTTAATTATGTATCCAGAAATAGAGTATTTAAAAATAAAAAAATTAGAAAAATAATTACAATAACAAAAAAATAAAATAAAATATTAAAAATAATAAATATTTATTTTCTCCGAAGTAAATTCGTTCCGGCAGCTTTCACAAAAATAATAGTTCCGATAAAGTAGAATAAAACGTTATCGTGATTATCCACGGGTAATAACAATGATTGAGTTCTCCAGCGGAAATAGGTGCGTACCTCAGTGGTCAGAGAGTTCATCTGGCTCTCTTAGCTCAGAATAAATATTAAAAATAAATAATAACAACATGAACAAAAATAAGTACGTGGAGCAAAGCTTGCTCCGGGATATATCCAAGTCCCCGAGGGTCTGAGCGCGTGTCCCTATTTCGAGAATGCAATAAGAGACTCGCTTGAGGCTCCAGCAGCGTTAATTAAGGTAAGAGAAGGTCGTCGAGACGGTTTGATGGAGAAACATCTGCGTCTGGGTGAGCCTCGGGCTCATCGATTTGCAGCAGGTGCCAATGTCGATACACTTTTTGGTCATCTCACCTGCTTACTGCATCTTCGCTCATGCGTCTACCTTTTAATAATAAATATACTAATTACACTAACAATTTCTTAGTTAAAACTTATAAATTATTGATAATAATAAATTGTCTTTCAGGTACCCAGAGTCGAGACTAGCCAAGCTATTTAACGGTAGCATCCCCATTATGCTGGACTCCTTGAAACAACATTACTTCATCGATCGAGACGGTGGCATGTTTCGACACATTCTTAATTTCATGAGAAATTCACGGTTACTTATACCTGAAAATTTCGCCGACTTGGATTTACTTCTTGAGGAGGCCCGGTACTTTGATATTGCGCGTAAGTTATTTTATTTTTACACTTCGGATGACACTTACCGAAAAAAACCAGGAAATTTCATTGAATATTTTTTATTCTTCGATTTTTGTTAAATTGCACTGTACTCTTTTAACTATTGACATTTTTAAAGATATAAGCTCATCCCGATGTTGCACTTATGAAGAGCTTTCATTTGAGAGTTATATATATATAAATATATAATATGTATGAAAAATTGATGTGGGTACTCAAATGAAAGGTCTTGATGAATATAACATCAGAATGAGCTTATATCTTCAAAAATGTCATTAGTTCACAAAATAGCAATGTCAGTTCTTAATTATTGACATTTTTAAAGATATAAGCTCATCGCGATGTTACACTCATCAAGAGCTTTCATTTGAGTACCCACATGCATTATTGATATATTTTTCATACATATATATA